CACTGACTCAGTGAGTGTTCCTCGTGTGTGTACCCCAGCCTCCACTGACTCAGTGAGTGTTGCTCATGTGTGTACCCCAGCCTCCACTGACTCAGTGAGTGTTCCTCGTGTGTGTACCCCAGCCTCCGCTGACTCAGTGAGTGTTCCTCATGTGTACCCCAGCCTCCACTGACTCAGTGAGTGTTCCTCATGTGTGTACCCCAGCCTCCGCTGACTCAGTGAGTGTTCCTCATGTGTACCCCAGCCTCCACTGACTCAGTGAGTGTTGCTCATGTGTGTACCCCAGCCTCCACTGACTCAGTGAGTGTTCCTCGTGTGTGTACCCCAGCCTCCACTGACTCAGTGAGTGTTCCTCGTGTGTGTACCCCAGCCTCCACTGACTCAGTGAGTGTTGCTCATGTGTGTACCCCAGCCTCCACTGACTCAGTGAGTGTTCCTCATGTGTGTACTCTAGTCTCCACTGACTCAGTACACACGGACAACAGCACCTTTACCTCGTAATCCTGAACAGTAATAGCAGCTGCAGCTCAACTCCATCAAGACACCTAGGAGCTGTAGCTCAATCCTCCCAAGAAGTCCAGGAGCTGGAGATCACCAATTTCAAGTGGCCTGGGGTAACGACAACACACTCAGAAAGCCTGTAGCTTGATGCCCTCAAAAGGCCCAAGAAATGTAGGTCAACAGCCGTAAGATGGGCAGGAATTATAGATCAACATAACCAAGGGACCCAGGAGCTAGAGCTCAACCCAGTCAAAGACTAAAGGTATACAGCAATAGGAATTACTCCTGGAACCCTGGCTAGTAAAGTTGGCTGACATTTTGTTGTGCACGCAGAAAAACCCATGATTGTGCAGAGCATTTCAAGCAAGTTTAAGCCTAACTTAAGAAGTCAGTCTTCTTTTTATATCATGGAAACCACTCCGCTAAACTTAATAATCTGCTATGTCAGGGGATAAGTTAATGAATTAATTAAATGACTGAATTAATCTTAATCTTTTAATCTGTTGTAAGTTTTAAATAAAAAAATCATTATTTCTTCAATGCTTAAAGGTAACTGCATAAAAAACTAATAAGGTATAGATTTAAAGTGATATAAAACCAGCCTCAATTTTTCAGCTCGATACCTCAGTGTCTGACAATCCCACAATAATAAGTATAATACACTAAATTTTTATAAGTAAATTGGAGCCTACAATGTAAACTGAAAAAAGCCCACCTTTCTCAGTAGGACACGACAACTCTGACAATTTTAAGTTAATATAAAAAAAGACATTCTCAAGCAACAGCACTAAAAAACAACATCCCTGTGGAAAATACTGTATATATTTTCCGGATATACGGTAATTTATAGGTAAATAGATGCCCTATGTTGTATTTAATAAAAGTGTATTTTTAAAAAGAAGAGATGGTCGCCATATTGTTTGAAGTTGGACTAGAAGCGTTAGTGTAATGGGAAAATTTTTTCGTGCTCTAGAGGTTAAAACTGGGTTGACACCTCTCAAATAAGAGGCGAAATTGTTGGATGTGCATTCCTGCATAATTTGAGAATCAGGCGACAGGACAGGACAACTCCAGGAACCTCAGATAAGCTGTCTAAATTATGTTTAATTTCTGGCCAGTAAATTCTTCATAAATGTAGGCAAAAGGGAGGGGGGGGGGTCCTGTACATACACATTAATCTCCAGTCAAATTGGTGAGTGTTATGATTAAGATATATTCTCCTTCTGTTGTGTAAATGTGTATATATGTGTATCTATAATTATTTATTATTTTTAATATACAGTCCACAAATTTATATATTTACCAGCATTCCTAGTGATACAAATCATTTATAATTAATAGGTCCAGAGCAACTTGTGGATATGGCAGTGGTAGGTATCGAAGGGGGACATTTTTTTGCGACCTAGGTGTCCCAAATTCCTACTTGTCTAACTGATAAATAATAATTATCTGTGTTCATTTACTGTTATGTACATAATGATACATTCAGTTAAATGCAATTTTCCACAATCCCAATATAACTAAAAACTAACAAATTAGAACCTACAACCTACAACGATGAGAAATTTCAATTACTCAGATATGGTAAACACGAGGAAATTAAATCTTCATTAGAGTACAAAACAAATTCTGGCCACAAAATAGAGCGAAACACCAACGTCAAAGACCTGGGAGTGATCATGTCGGAGGATCTCACCTTCAAGGACCATAACATTGTATCAATTGCATCTGCTAGAAAAATGACAGGATGGATAATGAGAACCTTCAAAACTAGGGAGGCCAAGCCCATGATGACACTCTTCAGGTCACTTGTTCTATCTAGGCTGGAATATTGCTGCACACTAACAGTACCTTTCAAGGCAGGTGAAATTGCTGACCTAGAAAATGTACAGAGAACCTTCACGGCGCGCATAACGGAGATAAAACACCTCAATTACTGGGAGCACTTGAGGTTCCTGAACCTGTATTCCCTGGAACGCAGGCGGGAGAGATACATGATTATATACACCTGGAAAATCCTAGAGGGACTAGTACCGAACTTGCACACGAAAATCACTCACTACGAAAGCAAAAGACTTGGCAGACGATGCACCATCCCCCCAATGAAAAGCAGGGGTGTCACTAGCACGTTAAGAGACCATACAATAAGTGTCAGGGGCCCGAGACTGTTCAACTGCCTCCCAGCACACATAAGGGGGATTACCAACAGACCCCTGGCAGTCTTCAAGCTGGCACTGGACAAGCACCTAAAGTCGGTTCCTGACCAGCCGGGCTGTGGCTCGTACGTTGGTTTGCGTGCAACCAGCAGCAACAGCCTGGTTGATCAGGCTCTGATCCACCAGGAGGCCTGGTCACAGACCGGGCCGCGGGGGCGTTGACCCCCGGAACTCTCTCCAGGTAAACTCCAGGTAAACAACAGTCCCATGAAAACCTTCGCCACTCCCAGTATATTTACCATCCTCTTAAGATGAAGAAATGAAATAATAAATTGGATTTATAGTGCATTTTAGCATCCTGTCGGTTCATTTGCAAGTGTAACACAAAAGTTATGTACAGACTAATGAGGAGTTATATTCAATCAGATAAAATATTATAAGCCAGGTACATTCCGTGCTTTTCTGATGGAAGAGGTGAAGTCGACCGCAAGACATTCTCTTGGTATCTCGTAACTTGCTCAGCTATCAAAACTTTGAGGCCCGGTCCCTGGACCCATTATGTACCTCTGTAATCTTTTGACTACCGCTCACAGGATGGGTATGGGGTGCATAATAAAGATATTAAACTAACTATCTCGTGGGCACCTTGGGGGAAAAGAAAATCGGACAACCAATATAAGTATCTAGACACATGTGCAACACTTGGGTATCTTTAGTGAGGAAACGTTTCACCACACAGTGGCTTCATCAGTCTATACAAAGAAGAATGGTGAAGATCGGGAGTTTGAGGTAATCAGTCTCTCATCCTAGAGTCGATGTAATCAGTCCAGCATTGGTTTCAGAAACCAGTGTTGCTCTTACACTGTTCTCTGAAACCAGAGATGCTGTAAAGTTCCTCGAGCGTAGTAACGTGTCAGGTTCCTTTCTTCGCACCTAATCAAAGGATATTCCCTTCACTTTCCATTTCTTCCTAGGATATCCCCTACACTTTCTAATCCTTCCTAGGATGTTCCCTACACTTTCTAATCCTTCATAGGATATCCCCTACACTTTCTAACCCCTTTGTAGGGTGTCCTTGTACACCTTGCGACCCATCCTTGGACGCTCCCTATGCCTCCCATTCACCCAAGATTTATACACACTCTTGATCAACCTTTGTTCCTCCATTTTAATGACTCAACCAGAGTTCATACAACTCCTGGTAAACAGGAAGTAATGGAGGGTGATGCATGGAAGAGGATAGATGGCTTTACCTCCTTAATAAAGTTTATTTAGGCACAGGTACACCTAAGTACAATTGTCATTCATAGTGTAAATTACCATGGATAACCCACCTTCCTTCCTTCCTTCTTTCCCTCTTCACTGTTATTGTTAGGCTGACAGCCAGTCGACTACACTTTGGTCATTAAGAGGCACGTCAGTTCCCCTCTTTTTTAATAATATGTTATTTTTTCCCCCATAATCTACCTTGTCCATAATTACTATCTCATTTCCTTTGTCTGCTTTCGTAAGGTGAAGTCCAGGATTTTTCCTTAATTCATGGTATAACTTAACAAATCTTTGAGGACAATTGTGACCTCTACAACACAATGGTCATCAAAGATTTGTTAAGTTATACCATGAATTAAGGAAAGATCCTGGACTTCACCTTACGAAAGAAGACAAAGGAAATGAGATAGTAATTATGGACAAGGTAGATTATGGGGGAAAAATAAACAAGATATCAGGAGACAGAGAAACTTACGTGCCTCTTAAGGTTACAAATTCAGTATCGAATAAAATATTAGTCCGTAAGATAGGGATTAAAGTATCAATATCCAATATAGGAATTAAAACGGCGTATCTAAGAAATGTGAATGCTTGGGTGTGCGTTCCTTGCCTTCAAGCTGAAGGCAGGGAACGTGCTGAAGGCTTTATTGCGCGTGTGTGTGTTAACATACGACATACTCTGGGCTGCAGTTAGTGAGAAAAATCTATACCAAGTGCAACTTGAAATAGATGAATCAGCCATGCGCAACAATTACAATACGAGCATCTGGCTGGCGCTCTCTCGCAGAATTTACAGATAAAATTCACCTTTTGATTTCTAATGAGTTTCCACTAAGTATATTTTTTTTAGAGTCTGCAGCTGCAGCACCGCCGCAGACAGCGGCCGCAACAGCATCAAAATAAAAAAATAAATTATTTCTCATCGATTAACAATATTTTGGCAAGCACATCAAGCATACACTGGGATTAATCAATTGTTCACTTGATAAAAAAAATGGGTTGGATTATGCTAGGGTCGCACAGGAATGCATTCCATAGCTTTTGTTTAAGATATAAAGGTGTTGGATCCTGCTGGTTGCTCACGTCACGTAGCTGATACTCTACAAGGACGAAAACACCATGACCGTGTTTTGTGATTGAAATTTTACCCCAGCAGCTCTAATAGGCTGTTACCCTGTCTCTGTGATAATAATATTCTATATAAAAATACTTCCAGAAAGGTAAGGAGGAGCCGCCATTGCTCGGGGTGTTGGGTCTGAGGTAGATATTGAAGATTGATGGAGGAATTAAGTGTTGTTGATACGCAGCTGAGGTGTTATTACTGACGCTGGTAATGTGATTGTTATCACTCATGGCTCACCTGCTTAACTTCTTTCACTTCATTCATTGTCCAGGCTGCTACTGGTACCACAATGTGTTATATGACTCAAACTTGTTTCCATAACGAAGGTTCAATAACGGTGGGATCTGCGGACACGCAATAGTTTCTTAGTTTTTGAGCTGGATGTCGACTTTTTTTTTTTTGTCAGTAAAAAAATCATATTTTGTTAGTTAAGTACAGTAGCCATTATTTGTGTACTATATACCAGCGTGACTATATTTATATAATATGGTCATATTAAAGTAGAGAAGATATTAGCCCAAGTTTTTCAATGTACCTAAAAGTAACTTTTCTGTATTGTGGGATTTTTTTTTATATTGGTGGTAGTGAGTAAAATACATACGAAACACTGATATCCTTATCACTGAAATGTTTCAATAGGCTTCAGCAGAATAAAAACGTCTCTGTATAAGTTTATTCAGGTAAAACTACACTTAAACACAGTTACATAAATTAACATATATAGCAGCATATGTGTAGATTACCCAGGATAACCCAAAAAATCAAAAGTTGTTTATTTCCATTGGGCAAAATGTTTTGGAAAAAAAAATGCCCAAGTGTTCCATATGTCTTATTCATCGACTTGTCAGTATTGTACACCACTATTATAGTGATGTATTGTTGATGTAGATCCAGCTACAGGATACAGTAACAGAACTCAGGTATCATTCTTGAAACAAATACCTCGTTGATATTCTTGGTGTTCTGAACCACTGTAGAAACAATGTTCAAATAACAAAGCCAAGAAAATGTAGAATAACCTGGTGAATAAATTAACAATTGACAGTGAATTTAAATAAATAACTTTTTTAAAGTGTGCTCAGTGTATTGTCATCAGACACTTTTTAATGTAACTCCTTAAATTCCCATTAAATATTTACTTTCAAGTTATAAATACATAATGTTCTTTATTTTTTTTAATCATATCTCCAAAAATTATTCCCCTTGAGTCCAGTGGAGAGCATTTGATCCATGGGAAGTGGACCCAATTTCCCCAGCCTTGGATCGACCCTAACTGCCTACCATTTCCCCATGCACTGTATGGCCCCTATTGGTTTAGCACTCTCCCATGAATGTAATAATAATAACAAGTCAACCAATATTACATCATTACTTGAAGTTAAATTTCAGTTGAACATTAAATTTTCATTTAATGTCAGTGGACGGAGGGATAAGAATCGTCCCAGGAAGAGTTGGAGAGAGGGATGAATTAGGTTTTGAGTGGTAGGGTGTTGAGCCTGCAGCGTGCATGTGTGAATGTAGCACAGGGATTAGCATGCGGAACTCTCACCCAACAGGACAGAACATATGAGCAAGTCTAGCACCTGTATATTGCCACTTATAAAGTAGTAGTAAGTACAGTACCTTGTAGTCATTCTACCTAAAATACATCCTTGTGGAAATAAACCACATTAGTGTTGTTGTTTCTTCAGTTGATCCCTATAGTTATATGTATATGTCTAATGTATTTTTTCATTTAAATATTATTAGTACAGTATTAGTCCAATCTTAAGTTTGCCAAAATGCTGAGCATCATTATGGGCTTTTCTTTGTAAATATATACAATGATAACCAACTAATTTATATAATGTATCTTCTTGGGAAATAGTTATTATCATCATGAAGCTTATAATGAATTAATATTTTATTTAAAAAGTGTACAAAAGTACAGAATTAATATTTTTTGAAGAGAGAGATTACATGTAAAGGAGGGTCTGCTTAAATCAAGCATGAATGATTTATATCAGTAGCAATGTACATTTGATTAAGTTTTTCACTTGCAGTCTAACCTGAAGCCAGGTTTCTCTGGTGACAGCCTGGTGAATCAGGCTGTTGCTACCCACAGCCTGCTAACCTCCACAGCCTGCTGGTCTTCATAGCCATAACAAACTGGCTAATTGGACATATCTTGCAGGAACTCATTCTGTCTCTTGTGTTCAGTTTCTTTGAATCAGTATTTTTACATACTTTGTGGTAAAATGTTTAAGAACCATGGACCACGAATATTGTTAGTGTATGTAATTATACTTATGGAACCTCTTTTCATTTAATTCATTTTATGATTCACTTTGTATCTCTTGGCAATGATTTATGGCAGTGTGTAGATTAGGGACCAGTCCTTTGGGTATTTTCCATGTCAAAAGATACTGTATTAGTGTTTGTGTTATAATAAAAATAGTTTTGAATAGGTGAAAGACATGATCTTTAAATGTTGCTGTAAGACTCGTCACTGACTGGAGGCAGTGGGAATGTCATTTTTAGTGATCACTGTGTGGTGTGAATAGTATGGAGTTCTAGAATAAGGAATGTGGAAATTACATGACTGTGGGAGTATGAAAGGTATAATTCAGGGAGCAGACGAGGAATTGTTGAGATAATTTTGGCATTAAGGAAGAATAGAGCAGAATAGGTCAACCAAGAGGGTGCATAAATCTAGTGTGGGTGGAAGGAGGGATAAGAATTGTTTCAGGAAGGGTTGAAGGAGGTTTTGAATGGTAGGGGCCATTTGTCCATTCTGTTGCTCACTTTACATCTTCAGGATCCTGAGAGTGACATTGCTAGTTCTCGCATTGTTGTTGCATCCAGTTACATCAACAACAGAAAGGCTAAGAGGAAGAGTAAATCTTAAAAATTCTATTTACATTTATTATTAACATATCTGCTTTCCTGTGTGCTTATTAATAGAAGTTCTTATAAAAGTTTTTCATTTTATGAAACCTGGTCTGAGATTGGGCCTCAGGGGCAATGAGCTCTGGAACCATTAACAGATGACTAGCTTTATAGATAGAGGGGATTCTGAAAAGTTGCAGAGGTTGGTGGACATGTTTGGTAGGGTATGTAAAAGAAGAAAATTAAAAGTGAATGTTGGAAAGAGAAAGGTGATGAGGATAACAAAAAAATTAGGTAATGAATGATTGGATATCAGATTGAAGGGAGAGAGTATGGAGGAGGTAAATGTATTCAGATGTTTGGGAGTGGACATATCAGCAGATGGGTCGATGAAAGATGAGGTGAATCATAGAATTGATGAAGGGAAAAAAGTGAGTGGTGCACCACTCACAAAGAACATTATCTATGGAAGCAAAGAGGGGAATGTATGAGAGCATAGTTACACCAACACTCTTGTATGGGTGTGAAGAAGGTTTGTGAATGTTGCAGCAAGGAGAAGGCTGGAGGCAGTGGAGATGTCGTGTCTGAGGGCAATGTGTGGAGTGAATATAATGCAATGAATCCGTGGTTTGGAAATTAGGAGGAGGTGTGGAGTTACTAAAAGTATAATTCAGAGGGCTGAGAAGGGGTTGTTGAGGTGGTTCAGACATTTAGAGAGGATGGAACAAAATAGAATCACTTGTAGAGCGTATAAATATGGAGTGAAAGGAAGGCGAGGTAGGGGAGAGCCTAGGAAAGGTTGGAGGGAGGGAGTAAAGGAGGTTTCGTGTGTGAGGGGCTAGCACTTCAGCAAGCATGTGTGAGCATGTTTGATAGGAGTGAGTTTTTAGGACTTGATGTGCTGTTGAAGTGTCAGCAAGGTAACATTTATGAAGGGATTCAGGGAAACTGGTTAGCTAGACTTGAGTCCTGGAGGTGGGAAGTACAGTGCCTGCACTCTGAAGGAGGGTATTGACGTTGCATTATTCACTCCATCTCTGGCAAGACAGAAATGGAGTGAATGATGAAAGTTTTTCTTTTTTGGGCCACCCTGCCTTGGTGGGAAACGGCTGATGTGTTAATAAAAAAAATAAAATAACAGTGTTACAAGATGCTTTGAACTTTACTATTAATTTGTTTTGTGGGATGGAACACAGTTGACCATACACATTTATATGCTTGTGCTCTCATTGAAAATACTGTTCTATACTCATAAGTTTTCACTTCATTATTCTGCCTCGCAGTTACTTACCCAAAAGTTTTATTTTTGCCCTGAAAAATGAAAGTGCTTATATGCATTTTTAAATTACTTGTTAATAAGAACTACTAAATAATTATAACTATGACCATAATTTTTAAAGGGGTGGACCGGTAAACCAGCGGAAGGCCTCAGTCAGATGACCAGAAGCTCCACTGGTGGGTCATCATATGACTAAGACCCGCATCAGGAAACACTTGTCCTGTTTCCTGACAAACCTTACCTTGTTAATAAGAGGCCTTCCATCTGTACAGTGAGCCGATTCAAAATTTTAATACATGATATTTTGCTAAAATTTTGTATGCTATTTTCTTTTGGTTATACATTTTTTTTAATTGTGTTACTGCAAAGTAAAAGACCATGAGGGTTTACTTTATAATTCAATAATTCTGATAAATCTGAGGCAGGATGTTGTATTGCAAAATCTATGTCGAGTTTTTTTTAATTGTTGATCATTTTCCACCAGTTATGGTTTTAATTAGTTGTCCAATACTTGATGTCAGGTTAATCTGACAGTGGTTAAGAGCATTGCTCTTTCTTCTTATTTTTAATACTAGAGCACATATCAGAGTAACACTAGACAACTTCTGGTTACTTGGCACTTTCCCATCTCTTATAGATATGTTAAATTCATTATTGATATTAGTTTGGTGACCAGTTTGATGTCAGTACTTTAGGATTCTTGCTGGTAGTTTGTCTGCCCTTAATTTATGTTCAGCTTTTCTAGGTATTTTATCATGTCTCCACTGCTAATTTCACCCATGTATATCAGAGTGCAGTAGATTTGAAACAGGGGTAGCTGCACAGTTCCACATAACATATCTTACAGAAGTACCTTGTGATTTTGTGCTCTTTAGATTTTCTGAGTATGTGAATGGAGAAATAACATATTTTCTGGGCATATTTACTTTCTGTAGCAGGAATAAAAACTT